TGAGAGTAATCGTTATTGTACGTATGAGACAAAATACACAAATTGGGTTAATCCAATGGAATTAATTGTTAATTAACACTCTTCATTTTCAACGTATCTATTATGTAACAATACATTTGAATCATTCAATCGAGTGCCAGTTGGGTCTAACATTTCTTTTAAGGGTTCTATAGGTTGGCCAATATTAACAGTGATAATTAATAATACTCTACAATAATTAACTGAGTTGTGAGATGCCATTTTTCACTAACTTCGAAATATTCTAATTGCCTTTATATTGGCATGTTTCGAGTTAACCTGGATTGGTAAGTTGAAGTGCAACTCTTGTCAGCAACTTAATTAGCTGGAAAAGTTGCATGCACTTTCAATTTGAGTATTGATCGAGTTTGAACTTTTGAAAAGAAAAAAAAAAGAAAACGAATGGTGTCTCTGGTTCCAAATATTTTGGGCAACGGCATCATCATCACTGTCTACCAGCGAAGTTTAAGGGTTACGAAATTCAACTTAGAGTAAGTTGTTGTAGCCCCATAGGTTAAGGTTGTATTTAAAATTTTAAAAATAAAAAATAAACCTGAATTATAGGTTTCCTTTCCCTATTTTGGAAGATTTGGTTGCTTATGTTTGTTTCGATGCACATGGTTTCTCTGCAAATTTCTGACGATGGAAGTGTACCACTCTCTCTCTCTCCCCCTCTCCCTCTCCTCAAATTCTTAAGCTTTACTATCAGTCATGAAAGAGTCTGGAAGGAAAAAAGTTGATACACACTACTCCACAAATGTATATATTTAGTGAAATATAGATAGAAAGAGGAAAAAAGAGAAATAAAAAATGTAATTAAAAAAATAGATAAGAGAAGTAAAATATAATGTATAAAAATCAAATCTGAATGCAGAATTGCAGAAATGTGTTATCCTTCACATCCTTTAAATCTTTATTTTGTTTCTTTCCATCTGCCGTAGTACCATGTCTTTACTTTCGACCACGTTATTACCAAATCACAAAATTTATATATTTGGTAAAAAAAAAATTTCTTTTAATTAATATACTTGAGAATTTGTGATAACGAAAACCGAAACAGTTTTTTTCTCTTTTTTATTAAAAATTGAAACTCCCGTACCAGTCATAACGTGTGCTCACACGCACACCCCCATGAACTAGAAGTTCATCGTGGTCTTTGATGTACACGCGCGCAGTTGTGCCTTTTATTTTGTGTTTAGAAAAAAAAAAAACTAATACAAATTTAGAGCAATAAAAGGTCATGCCTTTTATTTTGAGATGTTTTTTTTTATATAAAAATAAGAAATAATGTACGTAAATATATATATACACACACATGATCAACGGGATTACTTTTATATTGAAATAATAATACTATTGAGATTTTAGCTCCTTTTCACTATTCCTTGTGGGAAAATATAACAATTTCCCATGATTATATTCAATCATGTTCATGTTGCACCTTAGACTAGTATTAGGCCTCTTTATTTTTCTGCCAACATGATACGAAGGAATGTGATAAAAAAAAAGCTGAACTAATTAGTTGCTGATTCAAATGCTATTGCGCGTTCTTTCATGTAATTTAATAGATCGGTAGCTGAAAAATAAGGCTTATAAATAATTATTTTTTGACAATTATAGTTGTGATAACAATTTTACCAAAAATTAAATTTAGGTTAATGAATCCACTTTTATATATATATATATATATAAAACACATTGTAACGAAAAGAAAGGCATCAATCAAAATTTTATTTATAAATCTGGTTGATATAAAATTAAAAGAAGCACGGGCAAATAATGACTTGGACGCACTAAATGATGGCAATAATTAGCAAGTGTAATACATCAATCAATGTGATAGATTTAACATCATAACCTTTTTCAACTAATTTTACAATTGTAGTAGAGACAAGAAAAAATGAGAAAAAAAAAATATACATGAGAGAGAGAGAGAGAGTTATAAAAAAAAGTATTTTAATAAGTGTGTATAAAATTAATATAATTCTTATTATCCATAGGGTATGCTGTGTTTGGCACTAATGGTTGGATAACAGTAATATGGTGTTTTGCAGTACTCTTCTCCAACTTCCACATCATTATCACTGCCCCCAAAATACATAATTTCCTTTAAGCTGATTTTAGGTTGCTCTCAACTCCTTTCTAGCCTTTGCTTGGAAGGCAGCGCCTAGCGAAGCTTCCTCCATTGATTCTTGGGACTGTGATATATATAATATTAGACTTTTTCTAATAAAGGAATGTATATTACAATTTATACGTTTAAGAAATCTAATGTAACGATATTTTTTATTTATAGATTATGCACATTTTATTAATTTTGTGTGCATTGAGTGGCACAATGTAACCACTTACCTAATAGTACGTGTAGATAGAAGTATTTGTTATTATATTTTTATATATTATAGCGTTTTTAGATACCTTGAATATTTCTTTATATTATAAAATTATAGCCTGGGAATTCAACTTTAAGATTCTCGACCGATTTACATGCACGTGTTTATGAGGTAGACATCCCCCGCTTCAAATTTCGAGTCATTTTATATTCGTATATTTGAATAACGATATGCCGAACTATTAAAAGTCCAAAGAATAATAAAATTACCCATACTTGCACATATTGGATGTAAGAATTTGTCATAGATAAAAATATCTACACTCATAAACACCTGCCATTTTAATTATATAGTTGTGTTTTTACCTGTTTATTAATAATGGAGCGAATGTAAATATTAAGATATTTATACTTATAAAATTATTAATATAGTCTTATTATTATTATTATATATATTTAAATAAAAATGTACCTAACCTTATTATTTATAATCATTATCAAATGCGGATAATAATAAATTCCCTTAACACATATTTGCACGGATATGTGACGCATACTGGACCAATTTTTATTCTACGCGTAGCGGGTGGCAACCCTTTGCATCCCTATTCCCTACTCATTCTTATCATGATAAAAACACAGACAAAACTTAGCAAATATCTCCTAAAAATTATGTATCTCAATAATTCACAAGCCTTAATTTTTAAACAACAATAGTTTAAGAAAATTAATTTAATTGATTATACCATGTAACTTTTGTGCATTAAACAATTTTTTAATTTAATAACAATTTATATTTATATTTTTAAAATTTTATTTTTTATTTAATTTTATTTAATACAATAAAATATTATAATAGATAAATGTAAAACTATCAAAATTGTTTTAGTTATTTTGTGAAGCTCATGAAAGCCATGCATTTCTTTTTGTAAAATTAAATTTAAGATGAGATAAAAATTAATATACCATAAGCACGATGAAATTATTACACTGATATTTACGTTATACATTTTCAAAAATTTATGATATAACTATGAATTTGTTTCAAATTACTTACACTTCATAAATCAAGAATAATTATTCTTTTATTTTACCTTCTATTGTATTTTTATTAAATGAACAAGAAAGAATTAATAGAATAAGATGATAATTATAAAATATATAAGCATAGATATATATGTATAAATTTAGAGTATTAAAAAATCTATTTGCAAAACTCTAAAAACAATTGTTTGAAAATATGAAAAATAAAATTTATTTACTAAAATAGAACTACCTACAAGGAGAATTTGAACTCAATAATCAATGCCAACATTTTTCCGTGTCTAGAGGAACTTAACTCATTATGTTTTTTGACATATCATTTTCATACAAATACAGACATGACCGCAATTGTTGTAAAAGTGCTAAGTATATTGTTTTATTACAAGTTCAGTTCATATACACCTACCACACCACATTCCCACCACAGTTCCTTCATTTATCGTTTTTTTTTCTTCTTTTTTTATTGACTTATACAATTTTTTCTAACCTTGTGTTTGAATGATAACAATGGAAGAAATGGAAGAGGAAAAAGGAGGTTAACACAATTTCTTCTTTTAAAGTTTAAAATTATATAAGAAGGAAAACATTGTCTGGGGCTCCTCTCTACCTTTATTTTTCCTCAAAGAATCGTTTTTTATTCTACCCAAATTAAAATAAATTAGTGATTAAAAATTATAATAAAAAATTTTCATTAATTTTACAAAATAGTATATTTGAGAGGGAGATTTATATTTAATGTTTAACCATGTCTCAAACCTAAGAAACAATAAAAGAATTGCAATAATTTTGCTTAATTACTTTATAATTTAACTTTCAAATAAGGTAACATAAAATTATATTTCAATTGTTTTTGTTAATCTTTGAAATAATAGGGAAGTAACTATATTTTATTTTATTTTATTTCTTTAACCCATCCCGATTTGTTTTTAGCCACAATGTCATGTTTTTGCCACTTTTTACATATTATGAAACCGCGAAAGTCTCAAGATACATAACTCATGCAAATTAGCTGAACTCCTATTAAAGTAATTATAAAAGAAATAAAATCAGATACATTCGATTTAAGTATCAAATAATCTTTTTTTTCTTATGACTTTGTTCGTCTGAATTAAACCTAATATTACATGAAAAACACTAAATTGTTCGCTTTTTCCCCCCTAGACATGTTACCTGAAGGAGTTTATATTACTGTTTAACTCTTTGATAGCAGAGTGCTCCTTGTTACTTTGATCTATAAAAAAAAAACCATTTTTCAAATTTTTATTCGAAAATTAGAGATTACGGAGTGTTTTTAAGCTTAAAAATTTAAACACTAATCCCACTCTTGACTAGTAATTGCTGCTGGTGGAGAGAATTTTACAAATAAACAGGTTTCAATTTAATAAGTTGTATCTTAATTATTTTTTCCTTTGAACTGTGTAAAGGTTGTACATGTATTTACATTACACTGAACTAATTGAATTTCACGTGCAGAGCACTGTCCATAAATTTTTGCAACCTGAGGGCCTTTATAAGCGAAAAACTGGATCAAAGAGAGGACCCAACACTTGTGATTTTTTTTCCTTTGTTTCATCGTCTTCCTCTTGAAGCTATTGGGTTGTTTGTTATGTGTTTACCCGAGGGAGAGAGAGACAGAGAGAGAGCCATGGCATTAGAAGCAGTGGTGTTCCCACAAACACAAGGTTACACTTCAATCAAGGATTTCTACAACTGCAACTTCTTGTCTGCTTCACCTTCTCCCAACTGGGGTGCCTATGATCACCTCAACCTTGACAAAGAAGAAGAAGAACAAGACTCTATCACTAACTTTCTCGATAGCCAAACAGAGAATTACCCTTATGGGGATTGGACCAGTTCCTCCACTTCTTCAATGTTACCCCACTTGAATGAAACCACTGACCTCAGTAACAACCAAAACATTGATACCCCAACTCGTCCCAAGAGGCGCAGACCCAAAAGCAGAAAGAACAAGGAGGAAATTGAGAACCAAAGAATGACTCACATTGCTGTGGAGCGAAATAGGAGAAAGCAGATGAATGAGTATCTCTCTGTTCTTCGCTCTCTAATGCCAGATTCTTATATCCAAAGGGTACTTCTTCACTTCACTGTTACTTACTTGCTTTATTCAAAGTTTAAACCAAAGAAATACATGAATAGTTCTACGTTTTGGTTTCTACTGAACTGGGTTTGTTTTGTCTTGTTTGGTATGGGTGGTACTTGGTAATGGTGAATGGATTGAAGGGTGATCAAGCTTCTATAATTGGAGGTGCTATTAACTTTGTGAAGGAGCTTGAGCAGAGGTTGCAGTTTCTTGGAGCTCAGAAAGAAGCAGAAGTGAAATCTGATGGTGGTGATGGTGCAAACAATAACATGCCCTTTTCTGAGTTCTTCACTTTTCCTCAGTATTCAACGAGTGGTGGTGGCTGTGATAGTTCTGCAGCCATAGCTGAGCACGTGGGTGAAGTTCAGTCTTGCATTGCTGACATAGAAGTGACCATGGTGGAAAGCCATGCAAATCTCAAAATAAGATCCAAGAAGAGGCCAAAGCAGCTCTTGAAGCTGGTGTCTGGTTTGCATACCATGCGTCTCACAATCTTGCACCTAAATGTTACCACCACCGGTGAAATTGTCCTATACTCTCTCAGTGTTAAGGTTTGTGTTTGCTTTTGGTGTCTTAGATTTTAATTAATTTTGTTCTACATGCTTTTCTAAGTGTTGTTCATGGTGAAAATGTGTTGAAAATTTTTGTTGCAGGTAGAGGATGATTGCAAGTTGGGATCAGTGGATGATATATCTGCAGCTGTATACCAGATGCTGGATAGGATTCAACAAGAGGGAATGTTGAATTAAGATTTAAGATGAGAAATTGACCAAATTTGCCCCATTTGGTTTTTAACCTCATGTCATGACCTTGCATCATGGTGGATTATTTTTCTCTCTCTCTCTCTTTTGCTTTTTCAAGATGTACCTAATTATTGCAACTTCTGTTCACTCTTTGTTAGATGGTGCCATGCTGTGGGCTCCTTGGAGGAAGTTTTTTGGTTTATTCCTTCTTATGTATGCCTTTGTAGCTAGCTATAGCTCCTTTTGATCTCCCTCTCTATCTAGTGTCTTCTCTTTTTCTCTGGGGTCGGGGTGGAGAAGGATGTGGAATATTGTGCCTGAGACATGTTCAAGTGCTTGGTCAATTTTGCCTACCTTGCTTTGAAATTGGTAGGCCTTGTCTACCTCAACCATCAGCCAAATTGTCAAGCAGAAATTGAGAGCTTCTCAAAAATAACATTGAATGAAAATGAGAGCCAAAGGTTTTTAGCAATTGTCACATATTAAGTACTCAATTTTTTCTTTTACTTGGTTGTTATAATTTAATAAATTTATGCCAACGATTTCTTCTTGACATGTCTTAAGTACTAAAAACATCAACTCAATAATATTCATCACTTCCTGTATCTCACACTAGATACCATTGCAAGGTAAGCAAGAGGCTTAAGATTTCATGACTTCTATTGCTTCTATGGTTTCCAAGATCATCAGAATTATCAAACCTGCACTGCAGCATAATCAGTGCTTCTCTTATGATGATTGGACTCAAGCACTACAGTGGAAGTTCTATGTGAAAATTTTGATTAAATGGAAATAATAATAAAAGTTGGGCATTATTTTGTGTTGTGGACTCGTTGCAAAAGGTTCTAACTGTCAAAGGAGACCCACCTACACCGTAGTCTGTACTAAGTACCAAGTATAGTTGCATTGCAGAGGAAAGCTGCGGAGCACAGCTTGAAAGACACCTTTCTCTGAGCATTGGGCTTGACAAGGAACAAAAAATAAATGGTCCATCCTTATCATCAACATCAAGATTACTATACTGAATTCAGCAACCTAAAGATGCATGTGTTTGAGTGTACGTGTATGTATATTATATCATAGTTTCTTACTTCACTTTCTGGGTCTGGAATTATTTTATAACTTTTAAAAATGCAAATGATTAACACATTGAAGGTAAAACAATGGCCCCATGAAGTTGTACTATGTTCAAAGTCGAATCCCTAGGTAAAATAGAAAATAAAAGAAGGTTGGTTTGTGGTAGTGGGATCCAAGAGCAGAATGATAAGAATAAAGTCACATGTAAAATAAACTATTTCGAAAGGCAAAGTCCTTTTTTGTGGTAAACTTGTTGAATGAAGGTGTGTTATTGAGTGATTTGAGAGCAAAGGGAGTAACTTGTCTAGGTGAAAAAGCTTTCCCTTCATTAATATACTTTATTTTGTACTCAAACTTTTTGTGTACATTGAAGATTTGAGTTATCATGATGATTGCTTGAGTAGTGAAGTGTATGACTTTTTAAGTAGCTGCCATTCAACAACCATGATCTCATTCTGTGATGTTTTCTCAAATTTAAAACCTTGTTCTGTTCCCTTATTGAGTGAAAGTTCTTCATTGGGTCAAATCCAAAACAGTAATAACATAGATTCATAGAATACTTTCCAATTTTATAAGGATATCCTCAATACTTTCAACTATCCATGAGTAAGTATTTAATACGTGTTTCTTTTAAACAAGCAGTACCACCAACCAACAAATGTAGCCAAAAGTTTCCATTTTGCAGAGAAAGTTTTAGAAAAGTGAATTCTGCTACTCCTAATTTCTGGTAGAAAGATAATCCTGTAAAATTATAAAACCTTCTCCTTAATGTTGCGTTCGTTCACTAAATTTATTTGCACCCTTTCTATAGGTAATTATTATTACAGGGAAAACATACTAAAGCACTAGAAAATCCTTACATACAGACACACCCGTAAAATGGAATGTTTTAAATATAATTTCAGAATGTTACATTAATTGAGCAAAAATAATATGTGAGATAAAAATTGTGCCATTTATTTAATTAATTATAATAGAATTTTGTAGATGTTTAAATATGTTATTTTAGAGTACAAGAGCATTTAGACAACACATTGAAGTATCCTAAGTAAAACTGGGAAAATGAACAATCCAGCAAAGTCTTTTTTTTTTTTTTTTTTTTTTTCCGAAAGTGATCTAGCAAAGTCTAGTTAAGCTATTCTGATTTGGAGTATATTATTTTTATTAAAAAAATAAAAAAATGTTACTTCAGTTTATTTTAATCTATCCATTTAAGAAAAAATATTTATGTGAATAAATATAATTAATATTTTTTAAAATTATAATTATTTTTGAATTTTATTATGACTAATTATATTTTTTTTCATTTGCAAAAAATGTGTAACGAATCTGACAATTATATGAAAATAAAAATAATACATTTCAAAAGTGAATAGATAAAAAAAAAACAGAGGAAGTATTTTTTTTTTTTAAATGATAAAAAGTGCCTTTAAAACTTTAATTTAAAAATTATAAAAAATACCATTAATATATTTGTACTGAATTTTTAATATATTTTTTATTTATTAAATTTTTAGGAGTGCTCTTAAGTAAGATATATGTTTATATTTTTTTTTATCACACTTTTAAGATTATTTAAAGCTTCTCAAACCCTAATGAGGCTTAATTCTCTGGAGATTTAAAGAGGTAAGAATGATGTAAGACGATAATGAATTAATATAAGCTTAGTTAATAAACCATGTTAGCTACTAGCTAGTCTTTTTCAACGGCTCATTATAAAATAATTTTTCACTATTTTAAAAGATTAATGAGATGCAACATTCTAGAAAAAAAATACCTTAAAAATAGTATTAGTCCTTATAAATATAGTGATTTTATTTTCAGTCATTGTAATTTTTTTTTTCATCTCTGATCTAATTTTCATTATTTTTATGATCCTTTCGTCAACTTGGCATTAAATATTTACTAACTTGATTAATAGATGTCTAGCTAAGTTTTATGCATAAATTCGTCATATATATATTTTTAAAAAACTATACACAAACAACATATGTTATTATTTTCATCATTAAAACCACAAAAAATTATTTTATGTCTCTCTCCAAATCAATTACTTGTGTAACTTTTTTTAATATATATGATGAGTTCATATACAAGTCAAACCTTAATTAGACACTTGTTAACCAAGTCAGCAATTGTTTAACAGCAAGAACCAAAAGTGAAAGTTGAAAATTATTTAACCAAGCATGCATAGTACGGTAAGATAGATGAGTTCAATAGATGATGACGGTTCGATTAACTTCCTTATATAGTTTCAGTTGCCTTTGAAATACATTAGACACCTCACCCCTTTGTTTTTGGCCTTCTTTCTTGCCCTATTTTTTTAATGTCAGATTTCACATGAGTTGATTTAAAACCAACCCTACAAGGGTCACAGCGTCCGTTAGTGCAGCTGTGCAAAAGCTAATAATAATAAAAGAAATTTATTGGTTGTTGTTGAAGCTCCTCCATTGTATTTTAGAAGATTCCAACTCTTAACACCTGTTTGTTTTTACCTTCTTGTTCTCTTGTGAACAACATGGCATTCATAGATACCAACCCTCTCTCTTGTATTATTTCAAAGTTAGCTTGATGAAAAAGGAAGAGGTTGACCACTTATCCAAGACATGAAGATTAGGCCTTGGATTGCAGCTCTAAGAGAAATAAATACATAAAAGGAGATGCAATATGAATAGTTCTCGTAGCATATATATATATATATACACAGTTGAATTTGAAGAATTAAATAGTTGCGAGATTGGAGAGCCTGACATCTTTTGTTCGATCGAACAGTATAAAGCAAAAAGTTAGATTGACTAAAATAACAGTGACAATCACCCCATCTAAGGAAACGATGTAAGGGTAATAATTGTTGAGGAAAGGAAGCACAGTGTTGGGTGATATATATACCCAATGACAATTTGGTCCGTATGAGACCCTCCTCAATGACTTTTCAAATAGTTATTAAGATAGGATTGGACCAGTTGGTTCGTTCTCATAAATAGAAAATCGTTTAGGTTATTTGTTTGGGAAATTTAAGCAATTTGTCAAGTAGAAAATTAGTCAAGAACTAGTTAACCTCCTTGGATAGTTTCAGCTTCCCTTGAAATACATGTTAGACACCTCAACCTACGTTCAAAACTGGTTAAAAACAGACTATAATCAAGTAACAAACTACGTAGAAAATCGGCTAGAATTAGTCTTTTTATTAAAAAAATTATTTTTAAATAAATAAAATTCATATATTATATTATATATAATTTACTATCATTTAACGATTTATTATGATTTTCATCTTGTATAACATGTAAAATGATATTTTTATGTTAATTTAATTTTTTTTATAGATTTATTATTTAATATATTATATAATACTAAAATATTTTATTATTATTAATTTGACCACTCTTCAATTATACTTGAATCACTCTACTGTAAACTAGTTTTTTCATCAATTTAATAATCGACCCAATTTGTACATTTCTCAAGACAAGAAAATACGAGTATTTGTAAAAGAAAAGAATGACGAGGAGTTTTGAGACAAATGATTAAAATGACAATTGATATTAATGAAATTCATGAATACAATATATACATTGACAATGACTTAAAATGATAAGAACAAAGAATAACAGAAAATTACAGCTCAATCTCTTCTAAAATGCTTTCGAGTGTACCAATTATATACAACTTACAATGCAAGGAAAAAATAAAATAAAATAAGAAATAATTCAAAAATAAATTTGTACAAATGGGTTGTATTGTTTATGCAATTGAGTTGTGCAATATGGACTTTAGCAGAGTTGGATTCTTCTTCTTTTAGTCCCTCACAAGCTGAAGGTTTAAAGATGTCAAGAAACTCTAATTTGGATAAATTGGAGTTGAACAATCTTGGAGGGAGCGCTTTTGTTAAGATGTCCGCGAGTTGATGTGAAGAAGAAACCGACAAT